GGGAGGCAGAGGCAGCTCGGGGCGCTGGGATTGGTGCGCCGTGTAGCCGGGCCCGCCTCCTCGGGCGGGGCGGGGCGAGGGCTAGGGAGAGGGGCCCCGGGAAGGCAGTGGGAGGTCTCGGGGCGGGGAGCCGGGGCCGGCAGGGTAGGGAGGAGAGCGCGAGCAGAAGAAAAGAAGAAACAATGACGAGGAGAAACAATATGAAAACTGGCTGGCACGGCCTTCCGATGTTTCGCCACCTTGAGCTCGGTGAACACTAAATCGGGCCCGGAAGGTAGTGAATCCCGTTTCTCAAAACTGACACCCAGAGAGGTGGCCCGGAGACCAAGCTGTTCTTTCACCTCCGAATCCCTAGTTCTCGGCAATGAGGACAGAAATGTCTGCGAAGGCTTCGCGAGAAGGTGACTTAGAGCATTCATCACGCAGCCTTGTGACCCAGCTTGCATCGGTTCCAAACTGTTATCTAAGCCGTTTGTTGCCGGGTAATTTCTTGTCTAGTTAGGGCTGGTGTCACGGACTCGATTGACTCCTCTGGGGCAGAGACCACTTGGCGAGCCTCTACCTCCCAGACGCGAGCTCATTCATCCAGTCGGAGACATTTAGGGGCGCTCTGCTCCGAGCCAGGCTGACTCCTAGAGGGGAGCCTCTCCAACCCTCCAAGACCAGGATGAGAAGCAAAAAGGAACACAGGCCTTGCCAAATCTGGTGAATAAGAGCTGTAATAAACAAGGGGGCACTGGGGGAGCTCAAGGGAGGCACCTGGCATGTGGCATAGAAAAGGGAATCCAAGAGAAGGCTTCTCCCTCAAGTGACCCAAGCCACCACAGGACACCTGCCTGTCCAGGCAGAGGGAGCCGCCAGAGGCCAGAGCAGGGTGGCCACAGAAAGTTTCCCTGGCTACACTGTGGCAATCCCAGAGATGGGCCAGAAAGGCCCACAGTGCTTGGCTCTGGCAGGGTCTTGTATGGTAGACCACTGACCAGTTTGGGGCCGGTAAGATTTGCTTTTTATGGTAAGAAGGTCGCTGTGGCTCAGGTAACGTGGATGGGAAAAGATGAGAGAAGGGTGGGTGACGGTCCTGTTGTGACGATCCAGGCAAGAAGTGGTGGTGGCAGCGATGGGCCCTCCTTTTTCCTCTGCGGGGGAAACAAGGGGTTGACTCTCAGAGACCTTTCAGAGGCAGATTCAAACGGACTGGGAATGAGGCCCGGATATGTGACTGAGGACTCGCATTCTGCTTTCTTCCTACTTTACAGCCAGAACATGGGTGGCAGTCCGTGTTTCTCTCCAGTTTTCCTCATAATTTGGAAAACACCAGACTGGAAAGAAATGATAATAGAGCTCCCAGTGCTACCATGTCCCGCCTTGCTCAGTCAGGGAAGTTGAGGCTTGGGAGGGCTTAAATTGCCCAATCAGGGTCTTGATCTTGGTGCACAAGGTCAAAGAGTGCTCACCTGGGTTACCCACCCTGCAGGGTGTGTTCATCTCACTAATCCTGGCTGGACCTGCGCCATAGGGAAAAACCTGTGATTACCTGACCCCAAGAGGGGATTTCAGAGGAGGGAGCCAGCCAAGAGCGTCCCAAGGCTTGGCTGGCCCCTCAGCTGTGACCATGAGTAACCCCTGGCACTCCGACAGGAAGCAGGGTGGGCCTGGCAGCCAGGCGTAGGGCGGGTGGGGTATTTCTTTCTCTGTAGCCTGTCGACTGGTAACCCAGGAAGTTTCCCCTCCGTCATTTCACAGAAGGTGTCCGGGGAAGGAAGAGAGTGTGATGCCAGAACAGGAGCTAGATTTGGAGTGAGACAGCCCAAGTTAGAATCTCAACTCTGCTGCATGGTGGCAGACTCCAGCTCACACTCTGTTGACACATGACCACATGTTTCACGCAGACTTTTGGTGTAGTTTCGTATGTGTAGAAAGAAATATATATATATATATATATATATATATATATATATATATATATATGGAGTAATGGTAGAGAAGGGATTGCAATGCCCCATCGGTGGGTGCTTCCTCCCTCCCCTCACCAGGTGAGCACACACTTCCTCTGGGAATTAAAAACGAAAAAGTCCTCCCTATTGCAACATTGAATGATCAAAATTCAGTGTGCACTGTTCCTTTTAATATCAATTACTCACTAGCAGTACTCGCGCAGGCATGCGGAGGTATGTGTCTGTACCTTGCACCGTTGTCTGCTATAGGCAAACGTTGGGAGCAGCCTACGCTAGCAGCAGGAAGAGGGAGACCTTGGTGGCGAGGACTGTGTCTGGTTCTCTGTTCCCTTCCTGACACCCGAAGAAGCACCTGGTATGCGACAGGGATCAGTCAGTGAAGGGATGTTGGCAGCTGTGGGGAGAGGGCAGAGATGAGTGTGTGAGGTGGATGCAGCCACCCTCCTCTGCAAAGCGAGTCAGCCAGTCTGTAAGGACAAGCTTATCTTGTGAAGAAAAGGGGATATGTTTACACCTGCGTAAAAAGAATTTTTTTAGATAGAGATTTTTGCTTTGGGCTCGTGCACTCACCAGAGAGACAAAGAGATGGAAAGCAAGAAATCACCCCCCAGAGGGGATGGCCACACCACAATCCCTTCTCCTCCGTTCTCCTCTTGGGATTTTGGGCACGCACGTACAGGCATCCAGTGTGAATTTGAAGTCACCAGGTCCAGACTTGAACCGTGGTCAACTACATGGGAGTCCCACAACATAACCATTATGCCATCTGCTGGTCTGATGAAAAGAGTCTTGAAGGATGCATGTCAAACTTTCCAGAGGCTTCCATCCGAGGAGAAGGCACAGAGGGAAATGTGTACTTTAATGAGTACTTTTGAGTGTCGTTTGCTTTTTGTAATAGGATGAGTTCTGTTTGTAATTTAGCGATATATGATTATAAGGAGATTATAAACAAAGACCTGTCCATTCTGCTTATCACCCTCTGGATGAAACCCAAAGTTCTTAGTCTGGAGTTAAACTGCTCTGGCCCTCCGTGCCTGCTTCCCTCGGACCCCCGCAGCCCTGTTGCCAAAGGTTCCAGGCTCGGCCCTCTGCCCACCTGTGACTCTTGCTCATTGTCTAGCTTAGCTCAGGCATCCGCTCCCACCCCACCTCCCCATCAGGTACAATGCCCACGCCCTGCATCATGCCCCACGCTTCATGGACACTTGTGCAGAAATGAGGACTGCCCTTCTGATGTCCCTCTCCCTGGGGCCTCTCCCCATACCCGGTGCTAGCTGACACTCATTGCAAGGACAGGAAGGAAGGCAGGAGAGGAGAAACTGAGGTAGGTGTGGAGAGTATCGCTTGCCCACATCACCCTGAGGGCAGCTGCCCAGCTGGCCGGCTCTCTTGGTCATCTGACACCCAGCTCAGAGGCTGCTTCACACAGCTTTGCCATGCCAAGCCGCCTTCCAGGCCCTGTCTGCCAAGGGCGGTCAGTGCTGATTCACCAGTGACTGGGCTCCAATTATTTGCAGAACTGGACTGGCAGGCAAGCGACCGAAGCAGCTGACCAAGGGCATATTGATTTGTGCTGGGCTTCTCACTAATATCTAAGCTAGTCACACGAGAAGATAAAGGCTCTAAAGAACTCGCCCACGGCAATCCACCCTGCTTACACCTCCCACGGCCAAGTCCACAAGTTTCCCTGTTGATCAGCTAACTGCCCTTTCTAATCCAAGCCTGACCATCACTCACAGAGGGTAGTCATGGTTCAGAACACGGGATCTGACGTCAGGAGGCCCTGGGTTCCGGCCCAGGGATTACTGAGTCAACAGGTATTTGCATAGTTACCATTAACAGATAACGCCAAACTGCCTTCCAAAATGGTTAGATTTGTTTGTATTCCTACCAACAGGGGCCAGCAGATGGCCTCATGGTTACATCACTGGATTCCCATGTGGCCGACCGCAGTTCAGGTCTTGGACCCAGTGAC